CTTCGATGAACATGTTTTCCTTTCACCGTCTAACTGAAAATGTTGACATATTTTGAATATTCAGATGTTGGGACAGTGAATGAAGAATATTATCTGAGCGTTATGCGGCGTTTGAGAAAGCAAATTCCACCTGATGTGGAAAGGCAATTGGTTGAGCGTATGCAATTTCTTGAAAGTCGTTTGTTCGGATTGACGCGAGCATCGGTACAAGAATTAGTTTTTCAGATGGACGAGAAAAACGGTTTCGCTCATAAATTCAACATCCAAAAGCACAAAGCAGGTAGGTCAAGAATGGTTGGATGGATTTCCAAGTCGTAATCGGCTGCAAGTCCAAAAGTTTCATCAGTTGTACGGAACTGATAACGTATCAGTTCCGTACAAGTGATTCGGAAGTAAGCTTTTGTATCAGATGTACTAGAATCTGTTGGCTATAGACCGGGCCGTATTTATAAATCTGATGAATCTGGGCTATCTACGATACAAAAACCTGAAAAGATTTTAGGTACCAAGGGAAGGAGTCAAGTCGGAGTTATAACTAGTGCTGAGCGTGTAGCAAACACCACTGTTGTTTGTTGTGTTAATGCTGTTGGAACTTTCATACCGCCGATGATGATATTTCCTGAAAAAATATGAAAGACGAACTTATAGATGAAGCTCCTCCTGGCACTTAAGGTGTAGCTGAGCAATCGGACTGTATGTCAACCGAAGTATTCATGTAATGAATACAAAGTTTTGTAAGAGCAAACATTGAAACTTTGGAATATGCGAAAGAAAACGGTTGCACTCATCGTATGCAACCTCTTGACGTCTCCTTTTTTGGACATTTGATGACCTATTATAACCAATAAATTACTAAATGGCTGAAGGCACATCCTGGACGTATTGTTAGGCATCTTCAGATCGCTAGCTTGTTCAACGAAGCATATGGCAAGGCAGCTACGATGCAAAATGCTTGTCACGGATTTAAAAGCACTGGCATCTGGCCGTTGAACCCTGATATATTTCCGGATTATATGTACGAGCCCGCTGAAACCACAAACATACCACTGGAAGACAACTCCAATGAACAGCCTCCTCAACCTGCAACAGTAATGAGCTCTGTCCAGTCTGAATAGGTTTTGACACAACGTTCACAACAAGCAGTAAATATAGTTCCTGTGACGAATACGTCTCAAGTTGCTGTGACGGCTGCGTTACCTCCTATACAGCCATGGTTCCATGATATGATTTCTGAAGAGAGTAATGCAGCCGAAATAACAGCACTTACCGACCCACAAGCTGAACATTCAACTCAGGTTCCAACAACAAGCTCCGGTCTAGAAGTTGTTTTAACTACTGCTACTACCAATAAACGTCCATCGTATTCTGCTTCTATTGCTGTGGCAAAGGGAAACGTTAGCCAAAAACTCGACAGAGCTCGCTGGTGTTGACTTGTACTCCTAATATGTTGAAATAAAATCTAAAAATGCGCCCAAGGCGCAGAAGATTTTTTTAAATATTTTTCATGACGATGAAGAGGAATGTGTTTGCATTTACTGTAACGACCTTTATTCAAAATCCAAGCCCGGAGAAGACTGGTTGCGGTGCTTACAATGGTCGCTTTGGGCTCACGCTTCTTGTGCCGATGTTCCAAGAAGAACTAAGCGTTTTATTTGCGAATTATACCAATAATTTTGTAGCTATTATATGTGTAATTTTTTTCATTATCAATATGTCGTTTTGTCCGAAGCATAGGTATGGACAAAATAGATTATAACTGATCTCAGTTAAATATATTATGTTTTTTTCTGTTGATTTTTTATTAAAAATGTTTATAAGTTTCGATAATGTAAGGACCAAAGATGATTGATGTAAGCTATGGATGTGGTGTGAACTACCAATAAAAATTATGATGCAAAAACAAAACTATATGTCATTTTGTACATATTTCCTCTAATGCTATTATCATCATTCACAACTATTTTTAAACAGTCAAAATTGGGTAAGATGATATACTGGTAGAATGTAAACGAAAGATATTTCGTTTTTTATCAATAACTGTTAGCAGGTTAAAGTCAAACCATTGTTTCACCTATTGAGCAATAATTACTTTGAGAACATCTCATGAATGTGAGGTATCATTGGCAAAAATAACTGAGTACCCCTAGTATGAATAGCAGGGTAGAAGTTAACCCTGTTATATACTGCTTCTTTTCTGATTTAGTTTTTCACACACAATTTTTGTATAGAGGTTTGTTTGTTTTCAGGGTGGCTCTTCCAACAACTTTTTTCATTGAAATTTTTTTAATATATGTTGTGCTCAGAATTATTCGTGGATACTGTTTGGCTCTCTCGGAGACCCGAGACATGAATTTTTCTTATGAATGACTTGAATTTCTATAACTCAGAGTAGAAGATTTTTCATTATTTTCCAGTAGTCCTTAAAGAAGTGAATGGTTGTTGTCGGTATGTAATTCTTGATAGACGAAAATCCAGAGAATAACATGACGTGCAGCTAATGTATAGCATTTAGTGCCCAAAGACTTGAATAGGATACAACATTCCATGTATCAATCTCAACCAAGAGGTATTTATTAGGTATTTGCCAAGAAAGTGGTTGTTTCCGACAATCGAATTTAATTCGAAAAATTTACTTTCTTTGCATTAACTTTCTCCTTTGACAGTCATTGATTGTTTTAAAGCCTACGAGATCTAGTGAGAATATATGTAGATTCAACGGAAAAGAGGATTGGTACCTGGCCCTACTAATCCGCTTCATTTGATAGAAAATGAATCACTTGTGAAAATCCATTAACAACTAATTCGTCAACAATTGTTACAGTGACGATGCGAATTGAATAGTAAATAACATCAATTAATCGCTAATTTGTAAGTCAAATAGCTGATAAATCATTTCGCCTCGCAGATGGCTCTATTACTTGGTGAATTCGTTACGAAACTCGTCTTGTATTTGAATATTAGCATGAAAAATCTTGGCCATGAACATTCATAAATGACATATTGGAAATGAAAAAGATTTTTTACATTTACGTCATTTAAAAGATACAATTTACAGCTTGGTGTTTATGGTGTTTGGGGAATTGATGAAAAGAGAAAGCTCAACATTAAAAGATGCTTTCTCTGTACTGTACTGAGCATGCAAGAGCGAAAGAATGACGCGAAAATTCGGAAAATTTGGATTTTTGAGGGATGCACCAAAACAAGGTAGACCTTTCAGCTCCTGAAAATATTCAACAATTAATCTATATAATTTTGTTGGCAGTTGTACAGTAAGGGACTACCTAATGATTTAAATACTGGAGTCATCTCTATCGATCATTTTTGACAAAAAAACTGAATTTTGCGGGTACAAGATGGACCGAAGAATAAAAATACCAATTTTATAACTCAATTTTTGGAATGATGAAAATATACACTGTACACTGGATGCAAGAATAACATACGCAACGACCCCAAATATTAATGTAAGGGCTGGTATTGTGCTAAATACATCATTGAGTCAGTCCATACTGTTCTGATGAAATTCCTGAGTTGATCTAGGGTTTTCCCGACATTCAAACAGTCAACTCTTTCAACTGCGTAAAAGGGTGTCAACATTTTGCTACAATTGTACGTAGAACCTTTCCTGATTGGCGGATAGGAAGAAACGAAACAATGGAATGGCCCACTAGATCACAAAAAAACTGAATTTTGCGGGTACAAGATGGACCGAAGAATAAAAATACCAATTTTATAACTCAATTTTTGGAATGATGAAAATATACACTGTACACTGGATGCAAGAATAACATACGCAACGACCCCAAATATTAATGTAAGGGCTGGTATTGTGCTAAATACATCATTGAGTCAGTCCATACTGTTCTGATGAAATTCCTGAGTTGATCTAGGGTTTTCCCGACATTTAAACAGTCAACTCTTTCAACTGCGTAAAAGGGTGTCAACATTTTGCTACAATTGTACGTAGAACCTTTCCTGATTGGCGGATAGGAAGAAACGAAACAATGGAATGGCCCACTAGATCACCTGATCATAGTTCATTAGACCTTTTATGGAGCTATTTTAATGCAGGGTTGTAACGCATGTGCCTCCGCATTAAACCAATCTACCTATCAGCCACAAACTTGTATTTATGAATTCTGTCTGTGAAAAAATTAATTGTTGGGGCATGTTTTCTCAATTTTTTTCTAAAAATGTCAAACATTTCGCGTAATAAAGATACATATACATACTTTTCAGAACGAAAAAGAATTACTTTTTGAAAGTAATTTTAAGAAAGACAGGTGAGAATTACTGACTAATTATACGATTATGTACGTATTTTATGAGTAGCAAATATGGGTTCATGTGAAGTTGTAGCTTTTACTTTATTAGATAGACACCTGAAAGTCATTGAAACACGAATGTGAATATTGTGAAATGACCTGAATGATAAATAATTTATTAAAGTACACTAAGCAGATTTTGCGCAGTAAATACTAACTTGTTCAGATGGTACAGCATAGCAACCTGAGGAAACTTTTTCACTTGTTGGGAGACCAATTGTAAGAGTATTATTGTTTTCTGGATATTTCAATCTTTACATGATCAGACAAAAGTTGTTGTGAAAGTACGTCTGAATGTTTATTATTCTATGCTATAAGCATATCGTGAAAAAGTAAAATCACCTGAAACATTGATATACCTATGCTAAATCATTAAAATAAAGCACCTTTGAGACAGGACTTAGGTACTGGGCAAGTCATTTATGAGATGCAAAACAGAAAGCAGGAAGTTTCGAACCAATCTCCAAAAATTACCGCCACTATCATGCGCCACTAGGTCTAAAATTTCATTTTCTTAGTAGTTCAATGTTGAATAGACGTTTCAGTAAAACTATAAACTTTTTTAGGGTCCACCATGATGAATCGCTGCATTTGGAAGAGTTCACATTTCTTATGATGTCTCCTTTGAAGAGAACAAACATAGTTCATTGAATGAATGAAAAGTGAGATACTCACGAATGTAATCTTTCTCCCCAAATTTTGGCTGTCCGGAAAATGGAGGATCATGAAAGTCGAAGCCGATGGAATCACTGTCCATGGCAAAGACTTTTGCACATTCTTCATCGAGTTGCACCTCCGGCACGTTGCTACTGCCATCATTCTGTAACAAATTATACGATAAGTAAGCGTAGCAAAAGTTTTCTGGAATTTGCATAATAATAATAATAATAATAATAACTTTATTCACAAAGTATATATATTAGGGTACAATCAATACAAAATATGTGAACAAAGTGGTTTGGCGATAATAGCAGAGCTCTTGTTTCGCAAGAAGTTATAAAGTATATGAATGTATATAAATATTTGTGAAAAAGTAAATATGGCGTTCATGTAGTAGAAACTGCAAAACATTTTATTGAATTTTGTGAATTTGGTGTTTCAGGTAAACAAATTACATTTCGGCTTGGGGTGAAATAGGCCGATTAAATACTAGAAAAATAGATAAAACCTAGGACAAATATTACACGTCCTATAAGAACAAAATATTAATGTACAAAAAGATAAAATCTTAGGAAATATGGATAAGATTATGCTACTCACAATACAGTATGACACAACTTTGGGATAAATTTGACTAAGACTGACTTATTTCACTCTAACACAGGGCAACTAGTTTTAAGTGGCGTCCGGTAACAGTGGGGAAAATTTTTACGAGGTCCAGAAAAAACAACTATTAAAAATAAAATGCTATCTATGTATTATTTTGGTTTCAAATCAAATTCTGAATTATAAAACACATGACGTAAAATTAATGTGTGAAATCACACCGACGGTCTTGAGCCAGTTTTTAATAGTTTGGTTCTCAATAGGAACATGAAATTAAAAGTATGCCTTCTAGGTGGCCGTCCGGTTTTCTCGAAAGATATTTATTTTTCAAAAAATTAATCTTTGAGAAAGATGTTTCCGATACACATGTCGAGCCTAACATAGTGACCAAATTTATAGCCTGTATCTTGCAATGTTTGGTTTAAAATTTTTCAGTGGATACCGTTTTATATATTTACAAAGACACATTTTCTTGCAAATAAATTATCTCTATTTGAAGTCATGCCTTTGGCAGCCATATCTGTCCAGTCTACTGCTACATCAACTTCAAATGACGATTTAAGAAACGGAGACAGTTTGCCCATCTCTGCAGAGTCTTGGAATCTTGTAGCAAATTCTTTCCTGAAATCGGCAAGAAATTTTACAAACACTGCAATTCTTCTTTAGAGTTCTTTTTATATTGAAGAATTGTCGGAATATAAATAGATTCTTGTCTTGCGATATCTTTTTCAAAAATATCCAGCTTGCGACGAAAAGCAGACACGTTTTGTATCAGATGACATACTAATTTTCCATTTCCTTGTGATTGTGTTGAGCCTATTTGAATATTTCTATATCTATATCTTTAAAAAACGCCACGACCAGCATATCACGCTTGTTTGTGCTTTCTGGCTCCCTCCTTATCTAAGTTTTGCAAGGAGGTTACTTCTTCTTTTTTCAGCCAGAAACTTTCAATAACTTGACCTTTACTTAGCCAACGAACATTGTATCGTGTTGCAGTTAAGTTAGAATACGCTGTCAGAGAGAAACTCCTTGAAATGCCGGTGCTGAAGAGCAGAATGAGATCTCATAAAATTATTCAACTTGACCCAGCTGTCCATCACTTCTTTCAGTGTAGCACTAAGTTTCCACTAAATTATGCACTGATACGATATTAGACCTGAGTTTTTATCCCTGATTTCCTTTACCACACCCTTTTCTTTGTCAATTATGGCTGGTGTCACATCAGTTGAAAGCGACACCATTGTATCTTAACTGATGTTAGATTTAGTAATAAATTCATCAGTGACCTTGAATAAATCTTCTCCTCGACTGTAACCTTTCAACGGCAATATTGCTAGCGACTCTTCCCTAAAAATTTGACACTAAATATTAAGAAATCATACGAAAATTGACATGTGTTCATCATCAACAATGTCACATGATTCATCAAGTGCTATGGCGTAGCAAGGTGCTTATTACAGAAGTTCAAGAAGAGTGCTTTTAATTTAATATCGGCAGCAAACATTTCTGCGACAACATTTTTTTTTATTCAAAAAGTGCCATACATTTTCTCACCATCTCAGAATCTGAAAATGGTTTCTGCTGTTTATTAAGCGTACAGCACAGACGTAGCGCTGCTTCTGTGCATTTTTCATGCTCGCTTATGCAACGAACTAGTAATTTTGTGTTTGGATGGAGATATGGCTGGAGATATGGATGAAGTTTTTCCTTACGAGCCTTACTGCCAAAAGAAAAATTATTGTGAAATTGCTGATGAGTTGTTTCGTAGGGCCGCTTCAAATTACCACTCTTAACAATAGCGACAGTTTTATTGCATATAATAAATGCACACTAGAACCGCTTAAGGCCTATTAGGCAGCGTAAAACAATATTGTTTAGTCTATTCTGCCAGAAACCTCTAACTTTCACTATCCACTTAACGATTTTTAGAATCCATATTAGCATAGGTACGAAAACATTATGAAAACGCGAAAAATCACAAAACAAATCACACACAGGGTAGATATGAAACTAATAAAACCATATCAGTTGTAGGTACTTGGTAATCAGAATGACTTGGCAACTTGAAATAAAATAAGTACATACTTAGTTGAATTCTATGTGGCTTAAAAATATTACTTCAAATAATAAAGGTATACTATGCCTTATCTACGTATTAATTTTTATACTTGGTATATAACACATTACAATATTTGGCAAACGGATCGCCTATTGCTGACCGTCGATCTAACACATTCGAGAATGTCTTTTCTTATTCGTTTTTTGAATATTGTTTTGTAATAAGAACTTTTTATTTTGTGAGGTACAGCGTTTTATAATTTAGTTGCCATGAAAGAATATGCTCTTTGTGAAATTGACTTTTTAACAGTAGGTTAGGTTAGTTGGTAGCGATGTCGTGTGTTATAGTCATGGTTTCGTGATGATGCTTCATTTTAGCTGAAATGATACTTCACGATTGTACAATAGTAATATAATTGTTTCATATCCATAACTTCACACTATTTATACAGGAGATCTGACGAGAAACGCGAATTTCTAGACACAATCAACTCTATTAATATCCTGTGTAATACCTCTACGGGATTGAGGTGTACACGCAGAGCTGATCTCCATGCTGTTATACCATATTTCAAATGGCTCTCCATTAGGGAACTATATAATTGTTTAAGTTCTTTGTGAGGAACGGAAGTTGTGAAACATTGTTTTCGTTTTTTCATCAAATATTTCATATATATACGAAACATATAGAAAACTTTTTTTGACCTCCTTTTGAATACGATCTATATGGAATTTCGGACTTCCATTGTTCTACATGATCCGAAATATATCAAAGAACAAATAAAATTAGAATGAAAAGCTATAATATCAGTTATATTAAGCAATAATACCTGTAATGAAAATACAATGAAATAATCAAGATACAATATGAAAATGACTACTTGAATATGGATAACACGTGGGTCTTCTAGTAAGGCTGGTATCTTTGCCCATGTAGTTGTGAAGAACGCATAATTGCAACGGGAAATCTTCGAGGACTTTGGTAGGTTCTAGGAACGGAGGAGTTGGCGAAGTCAACATTATTTCTCTGCAAATTTTGAATGCCGTAACTTTCGCTTCCACGACCTCTGAATACTGGTGTATCTCAACATTATTTCCTGTTGGCAAAGCTCTGCTCACAATGATTTCTGTTCCGTTGATCATCGGATTTGTAATTTTTAGCAGATTGTCTACAACTTCTTCAGAATTGTATCTTATAATGAAAAAACCTTCCCTCTGCTTTCAAATAGTATCATACGGCATTTTTACCTCCAACATTTTGCCAAACTGATCAAAATAAGTTAAAATGTCATTGTCGGTCAGATTCGACGTTAATCCTTTTACCATTATGGTATCTCCTTTGGGTTCGGTGAGTTATCATCTTACTACCATTTGAGGTATATTTACTCAGAGTGAGAGTTTGATAATCCAATTTGAAAAATAAAAAAACTTGAATATGGATAATACAGGGGTCTTCTAGTAAGGCTGGTATCTTTGCCACCGTGATCGTGAAGAAGGCATAATTGTAGTGGTGTGTTTCCGAGGATTTTGGTAGGACCCAAGACGTGAGTAGCTGGCAAATCCAATATTGTTTCGCTTCAAATTGTAAACTCCTGTTGGCAAAACTCTGCTAATAACGATTTTTGTTTCATTTATCTTCGGAGTTGTCATTTTTAACAGATTGTCCACAACTTCTCCAGAATTGAATTTTATAATAAAAAAACTGATCGAAATGAGATAAAATATCATTGTCGGTCAGATTCGACGTCAATCCACCTACTACTGGTATCTTCTTCAGGTTTGGCTTGGCTTATGTGTCTTCTTTATTGCTGTTTCTGTAGATTCCTTCGCTAAAACCAACTAGATTTTCCGAAACCTTGTCTGAACTGTCACTAATATTATGGTAACTTTCCTCAGAATAATCACCAATGTAATTTTCCATCTTGCTCATGATTATATTATGAAAAAACAATTTTCAGATAAAGATTCCTTAGAGCTCGTCCGAGATAAAAACAAAAATAAACCCTTCAAATTTCACCAATTTGAGGTACATTCACTCGCAGTAAGAGTTTGATAACCAAATTTTCAAAAATTCATCGGAATTAAAAATGTTACTCACGGCCGTGGCCGTGACACCAACTGTGCAAAATACGTTCCTATGTTTCTTCAAATTGAAGTGGAAAAAAGTTCACTAGTTAGTTGAAATGTATATCTAATTGTGCGGCAAAAAACAAGGAATCAAATGGTGAGATAAAAAAACAGAGTACCTTCGTTAAATATTATCAGTGAAACAGTGGCATGCCATGTCGTTAAGAAGAGGAAATACAATAATTTTGGACTTCAAAAACGTAAGAAAAAGAACACCTAACATTACCATACATCGATGGATCAAAAGTAAATTTAATTTTACCAATGATCAAGTTGTGTGCATACAATTTGATCATATACGTAACAAAGTATACATAAAGGTAATATCAGAACTACTAGTTTCAAGGACAATCAAGAAATATGAAGATGTAAAATTGATATATAATGACGAGGAACAAGATCGTGAAATCTATATTTCAGCAAAGGAAGACGATACATGGGTAAGAATTTTTGATTTTCCCCCAGAACTCAAAAATAGTAAATTGATGGAACATTTTGCTCAATATGGAAAAGTGAAAACAATTAGGAATGAAATGTGGTCAGGAAACGAATTTAATAATGTTGAAAGCGGGGTCAGATCGATATTAACTTCAATGAAAAAGAAGATACCTTCTTATGTTACTATTGAAGGAATAACTTCCTTAGTCACATATAAAAACCAAGTAAAAACTTGCATGATATGTGACAAATCGGGCAATGAAAGAAGGGAATGTCCATCGAAACCTATTAATAGAATTTTGGAAATTAGAAGACCTAATGCTCCGAGAATTGTAGATAATTCAAGAGTAATAGAGACGTGCATGAAGTGCAGGCAAACTTGGACACAATTTCGGAGTTGGAAGTCGCAACGGAACAAAATAGTGGTCAGTCAGATAAGACATTCAGTGAGAGCAGAAACGTGAGTAGTCAGTTCTTCGTTGAACCCTCCAAGAGAATTTCTCAACAAACTGCGGACGCGAGAGCGGCGCCTACACAATAAGACATGATTCAACCGGCAGATTAATTTGAAAATAAGCAGTAGCCAATTGATTAACGTGAATGAACAACACGAATTTGAAGAAAGTAATGCCGAAACGGATTCCCCGGTGTGCGACGCTGATCTGTATTAGATCTTTTTCTATTGTGCCTCTTTACTTTTTATATCAAATCAATATAGGAACAAATTTGCTTTCCCTTTTATCGGCAAATTGTAATAGTCTGAAAAATCTAGTAAAACAAGGTTTGTTTTTTGACTTTATCAAAAAACATGATGTAGATATTACTTTTGTTCAAGAACTGAATACAGAAAGTTTGAAATTCTCTTTTGGATACACTATGATCTCAAATATAGGTCAACGTGGCCGGAAATAATATATAGAAATGGATATGATATAAAAGACGTGCTTTGTTCTCTTGATGGTAGGATCATTTCGGCAACTACTGAAAATATTCGTTACGTCAACATTTATGCACCATCAGGAGGACAAAATTATAGATTGAGAAACGAGTTTTTCCAGAACGATTTGCTAATCCATTTCAACTTTAACTTGCCAGTCATATTAGTAGGAGATTTTAATTGCGTTATACAACAAAAAGATTCAAGAAATAACACAAATATTTGCAAAATGCTTTAACAAGTTATACAAAATACTAATCTAGTTGATACATGGAACGTATTATATAAAAACAAAATAGAATCCACCTATATGAGAGGCAACTGCGCTACTCGTAGTCTAAGATCCGGCTGCAGAATTAGTGCACTCATCAAGTACATGTTGAAAACTACATTCTTACACTATTTATCCTTAGAAGAATACATTTCTACTAGGTTGCCTATCAAAACTTGGCCGCTAATATTTTTAATTAAATTATTTTCAATTGATTTTTCGGAAAACATTTCATTCATTTGTTTTTTAAATAAAATATCGCGCTAGCACGAAATATTACCAGTCAGAAAAGGATAGCGAGTACCAGCTGTACGACACTTTTGAGACATTGCGCATGCGCCTGATGATAGTGTTCTCAACCACCAGTTAAAACAATAGTAGATACAACTTAATAAATACTCCAAAAAAAGTCTTCTCAAAATGATAAATGTAAAAATTACCACAATAAATTACTATCGATTAAAAAAAATTAAGGTTACTCACGTAAAATAAAATTTTATTGTGCAAGTACTGTTTGAGTAAATCTTATATTTTATTCAAATATTCAATCATTTATTACATATAAATGAAACATTTAAGTAACTCAAAAATTAAACAAACGTATCTTATCTATCTGTAAATTTTATTTAAAAATCTGAATCATCAGAGCTTTCATTTTCACTATCATAGCAGCTATCACTTTCATAACTTTCATCGCTAGAAATATCATAATCATCGTCATTATTGGAAGAGTTGTTTGTGGAATCACAGAGAACATTTTCAACTTGCGTTGGAGCTGAATCTCCCAGAAACCATGTTGGTTTTAGACAACCATCTGATAGTTGTCAGCCGTTATTTTCCGCGCTGTACATGATACAATTCGGCTCAGTAGCATTTAAGCACATTGAATTAATAAAGATCGTCCGCAACAACTTTTGTTTCAAAGATTTCCAACACGGTGGAATGTGCATTGGGTCGAAATCTTTAATTTTTTTCATAAATTTTTCATTATTTTGTTTTGAAGCGTACGTTTTGTTAAATAATAAAAACCTTGCGGCGTTTACACTTTGACACTTTGGAAGTCCATACATGAGGCACGTAAAATGTTGGACTGCATCAGTTTTACTTTCATCATAGATGTCGATAGGATTTGTCAAAGACGCAAAGACTTGCTGAATTTGTAGATGCTTCATAAATATTTTCAAGGGCCGAATTTTTCCTTTGCTGAAGAATGCAGCTGTGTAGTCGCAACCAGAACACTATCATCAGGCGCATGCGCAATGGCTCAAAAGTGGTGTACAGCTGGTACTCGCTATCCTTTTCTGACTGGTAATATTTCGCGCTAGCTCTCTTTCACACTACCTTCAATATCTATCATTTTTAAGAGTCAGCAACCCTTATTTGCGGCCAGATTTAATTAGGCAACCGTGTATCATGACCAACAGAAAAAATTCAGCTTTAATTTGATGTATAGCTAATAAATATACATTATGAACGAATAAATGTATCATAATCATACCTGCTTACACCTGGCTGCGAAGAGGTGTGGCCAAGTGCGCAACGGCAACCGTGGTTTTTCAGAGTCTTCATGTGTATTGTCATGAAGTGAACGATATTTTATTTGAAAAACAAATGAATGAAATGTTTTCCGAAAAATCAATTAAAAATAATTTAATTAAAAATATTAGCCGCCAAGTTTTGATAGGCAACCTAGTAGAAATGTATTCTTCTAAGGATAAATATGTGTAAGAATGTAGTTTTTAACATGTACTCGATGAGTGCACTAATTCTGCAGCCGGATCTCGTACTATTGTTAGAATCTAGGACAAACAAAGGAACAGGATTCTTGATTGAAAAATTATGGGTTTCTATTGGTTGATAATCTGTATCGTTATGAAAAATCTGTATCATAATGGATATTGTTATGGAACGGATTATGGTCATATAAGTGTATTGTTAGAGTACGGGTGTAGAAAAATAATATTATAATCGAACTAAAACAAAAAAATCTAGATAAAAAATTTGCAAATAAAAATAAATATCCGTTCAATGAAAACTTTCCTTTGTTTGACTTGATGAAAGAATGAAAAAATGAAATTTCAATAATTTCAAAATTGCAAACGGAATATGAAGAGACTTTAAAAACGTCTAAAACTATATTGAAGTATGCAGCTGAACATTATGAAGATAAATTCAAGTCCGTGTAAATTCAAGATCGAGATGTTCGGTGTATGTTGGCTCATGTTAAAAAACAAATATCTGAAGCAGATAACAATAAACTTATCGAAGAAATAAAAAAAGATGAATTACTAACAATTCTGAACTCAGTTTCAAAAAAGAAGACTCCAGGTATAGATTGAATTCCCTACGAATTCTTTATTTGTTTCTTTGATGAAATTGGCGATGAACTAACTAAACTCCTTAATTTAATTCTTACAACCTCAATGCCCCCACCAAAAGAATTCTCAATGGCTGTAATCACGCTTATACCGAAAATAAAGAATCCTCTATTAATTAATCACTGGAGACCTATTACCTTACTGAATGCTGATTATAAATTATTGACTGAAAGATTTAGGAGTGTTTATAGCAAATAGTTTAGGTAACGAACAAAATTGTGGGACAGATAAATCAATTTTCAATAATCTGCTCTTGATAAGGGATATAATAATACATGCGGAGGATGACAAGCAGTTTGAGGGTGGCATAATTAGTATAGACTTTAACCAGGCTTTTGATAGGGTAAACCACTCCTATCTTTGGAAAGTTATGTCTGCGATGGGATTCAACAATAACATTATTCAGACAATAAGGAATATTTATAACACTGCGAATTCCTCAGTATTGGTAAACGGGTATCTCTCAAAAAATTTTGACATTAGGAGCTCCATAAGACAGGGTTGTCCCTTATCGATGATTTTATTTAGCATTTCGCTTGAACCTTTCTTAAGGATATGTGATTTCTCACTAGGAGGAATTAAAATACAGAGCGGAGAGCAAAAAATAGCAGCCTATGCGGACGATGTGACGGTTTTCTTTTCGAATCGTAATGACATAAGAATTTTGAACGGTATTATAAAAATATATTGCGCTGCATCTAATGCAAAAGTAAATTTTGATAAATCATATATACTACCTCTTGGTAAGTGTGAAAAAAACCTACATTTTTCAGGTTAAATCAGAGACTAAAATTTTGGAAATGAGAGTATGTGCAAAATTTAAGGACATGATCAGAATAAGTTGTAACCTAATTAAACAAAATATTCACAAAATTTTACAAGCCAATTACTCATGTAATTTAGATTTAATTATTAAAATTCAACTTGTAAATATTTATGTACTCTCTAAAGCATAGTCATTGCA